CCTGTAATCCCAGCTACTCAGGAGGCTGAGGCAGGAGAATTGCCTGAACCCAGGAGGCGGAGGTTGTGGTGAGCCGAGATCGCGCCATTGCACTCCAGCCTGGGTAACAAGAGCAAAACTCCGTCTCAAAAAAAAAAAAAAAAAAAAAAAAAAAAAAAAAAAAAAAAAAAATTAGATGTTTCTACATAAATACCCAGAATTCCAGTGTCACTTGAAAAATAGAAGAGCTGGTGACAATGGGCCCGCATCACCACAGAAATCTGCACAGCAGCTGCTCCCCTTAGAGAAGATGCTGTCCCATTTTGTGTGGCCACCGCCTATGCCCTTTTCATTCCTCTCCCTTACCAGCTGGGCACCTGCAGCCACCAGTTCCCAGACCTGGCTATGTGAAAGCTAAATATCTTGGGCCCTCAAAATCACTAAGCTAAAGGCAAAATTCAAGCTGGGAACTGCATGGGGCAAACCTGTCTCCCATTCTATCCAAAATCATCCCTCTGCTGAGATAAATGCATACCTGATTGGCTTCCTTGGAAAAGCTAATCAGAAGCTCAAAAGAATGCAACTGTTTGTCATTCATCTAGCTGCAGCCTAGACGCCCCCTTCCTACTTCTAGTTGCTTCAGGTTCTACCGCTTTTGCTTTGAGTTGTCCTGCTTTTCCATACTGAACAAATGTTCGTTTTATATATGTTGATTGATGTCTCATGTCAACCTAAAATGTATAAAGCCACACTGTGCTCTGACCTCCTTGGGAACATGTCATCAGGACCTCCTGAGGCTGTGTTGTGGTTGCAGGTCCTCAAACTTGGCAAAATAAACTTTCTAAATTAACTGAGACCTGTCTCAAATTTTGGGGGTTCAGAGCTACACACTGGAATCAGCAGGAGAACTTTCAAAAAATACCCCAAATCATATCCCAGGCTCCACCCCAGATAAGTGAGAGGGGTGGGGCCCAGGCACTGGTAAGTTCTGAGAGCTCTGCAGGTGCTTTTAAGAGGCATCTGCCACTGAGGACCATCTGGGTTCCTGCTCTGGGACTTGGCTGCACATTGGTATTACCTGGCGAGATTTAAAAATGACTGACGTCTCTTCCTACGGGTTCTGAATCCATTGGCACAGGGTGTGGCAGCAGATCAGGACTAAGTTTACTAGGCAATTGAATATATGGCAAAGATTGAGATCCACTACTATGGGCATTTAAGTTTTTATCCCATGCTGCGGACACATGGCACTTGTTTCACCTTTACTCCACCACCCTGCCAAATTAAATATGTAAATAACTCATACGACTATGTTATATATTACATATACATATTTATGTATGCATACACACTGTTGGCTAAAGGAACAAGATGTCAAGCTTTTAAAGAATTAAAGTTAGTTTCATTTGAAAACCTTACAGTGGACAGTAAGACTATACTGAGTCCTCCAGCCATGGAGCAGTCCTGCCAGACTGTTACCAAGGCAGTGTTTTAGCCCATTGCTTATATACAGATAGTAGAGGTTCTGAATGTGCAAATTCATCTCCAACTTGTTCAGATGTTACATCGAAGCAAAGATCACATCAAGGATTATGTGTGAGAGTACACATAGATTACAGAGGCATAGTCACCAACCCTATTGGACATTACCTTCTGCATAGGAAAAGGCAAAGCTAAGTGTTGACTCAGGCAAGAGACATGGGAAGCACATGCCTTACCCTATTTTGTCTTCAAAGCATCTTTCCAGAAAGCTGCAGGTTGTCACAGAGTCAGGGCTTTGGGAAATTATGCTGGCAAGCAGAAATGACCAAACATGGCTTCTTACATTTGTTACTTTGTCTACAAGACACACACACACATACACACACACACATACATACACACACACACACACACACATACACACACATCCTATGAGATTAGAATTTAAAACCTCATAAATATAAGAAACAGAAGCAGGCAGATTGCCTGAGCTCAGGAGTTTGAGACCAGCCTGGGCAACATGGTGAAACCCCAACTCTACTAAAATGCAAAAGAAATTAGCCGGGAGCCAGGTTGGGTGGCGTGCACCTATAGTCCCAGCTACTAGGGAGGCTGAGGTAGGAGAATTGCTTGAATCCTTAAAACTGGGAGGCAGAGGTTGCAGTAAGCCAAGATCACACCACTGCTCTCCAGCCTGGCCGGTAGAGACAGAGCAAGACTCAGTCTCTAAAAAAAAAAAAAAAAATTGCAGCATGTAAACACCCACAACACACACACACACACACACACACACACAAACACACACACACAGTCCATTAACCAGCCACCTTACTCCCCATGGTTGACTCCAAATTCATCCCAGACCAGAGATAAACCGTCATTGGGGCACACAGAATGATTTTCACATTGGAATTCTAGTGATGAATGAGTAATTATAGTTTCCTTGGAATTGAAAACAAAACCTATTCTTTTCTTGAACATTACTGCACCCATGCATTTTCTTAGTTATCTCACATCAGCCTCTAGGGCAACACTATGAGGGAGACACTGTCATCCTCATGTTCGATGAGGTAAGTGTAAAGGCCCACACGGTGATTACTTTGAAGGGAACGCCGCTCCTTTGAATGTGTAAGTTCTGGAATTTTTCTTCAAATCAGCCATAATATTTTACAATCACACCTTGTATGTTCCCAGAATGTTCTGTTAAATAGGATTTTTGTAATGTGATTCTCACTTTAAAGGCACCAAGGGAATTTGGCATTTTTAGGGAACACTTCAGAGAAACATTTTATAAAAACAAATAACCCTTTAGTGCTGTGAACACTGAACTCTTAATGTAGCTGTTTTGTGAGTTAGTTGTTTTTTTAGAGTTGATTTTTTTCCCAGTGTACTGAATCTGCTTTCAATGCATATCCCAAAGAATGTATGAGTAAATAAGAGAAGGTTCAAGAAAATAAGTGTTCTGAATAGGAGCAGTAAGCTTTCAAACTCTGCCCTCTAACGTAATAATAAGGAAATTTTAAGCTCCCTCACTCTCTCAATTTTCCAGCTGCAAAATTTGAGTCATTTCTTCCTAAAAGAATGTCTGAATCTAATATAATTTAAGACTATCTCTCTCCACCCGACCTAAGTGGCCTTTCTGTCATCCATTTTCTATTATTGTGGCAGATGGGTTGACTGTCTGCTGAAAGGCTGGGGTGACTTGGTTGGCTAAAACAGCAGCATGGACCATCCCTAACCCAACTGATGTTCTGTAATCTGCTGTTAGTAACATGAGAAAAACCTAACTGGGCTGAAATGATCTAGTGGGTTCTACCACAGGCAGAGAAATAAACAGAGGCATAGGACTTCAGAATAGAAGAGTGTTCCTTTTAGAAAGAGAACTGAAAAGTAATATATTTTACAAGTTAGCAACCAAGTGCAGCAGTTATATCCTAGGGGCCTGACAGAGATAACCTCTCAGGAGCTATTGGCAAAAGAAGGGGATGGAACACAGAACAAACTCCTGGCCCCGGACTGAAACTTAGAAGTGGCATGCTGAAGTATGAGCAGGCTTTATTCAGAGGCTGGCTTCTAAATGTTCAGAACCCAAATTCACAGGTGGTTATTACATTCCCTAGGTAGCCTAGAAATGCTTATTTAGTCCTTAATGTTCTTGGAGAATAACCCAAACACTAGCTTTGCTAAGGTCTGGGCCTTAAAATGAGGTAGGTGACATAATACTGGGGGAAGAGAATGAGGAAGTGAAGAAGATAGACATAGAGGAAGAAGTAGAAGGTAGAGATAGAGAAATATGTTGGCCTGAAACAAAATTCTGAAGTAATAAACGTTTATGTTTGACGTTTCTCAATCTCACATTTTGCACTACATTCCCAGTGCTTCATCAAAGTAGCACTCAGGCCTATGTTCTCTTCATCCAGTGCTAAAAACTCATCTTTATCTGTTTAAATCAGAGCTCCATTGGGAATAGAGGAGACGTTCCTACCAGACTAACCCTCTCATAGAAAACAACTATAAACTCTTAAAAATATAAAAATTAACCCTAAGGCCCTAGAAACTCACCAAAGCAGTGAGAAAATAGAGGAGGGTAGAGGGAGTCTTGCTTAGGAGAATGCTGAGTGCTGTGTGTCATAAACCACACAATAAATAGGACATTAGATTTTTGCTTTAAATGCTCATATACCTTCCAAATCATGGGAGAAAGACCTGCTCCCATGATTCAATTACCTTCCACCAGGTTCCTCCCACAACACATAGGAATTCAAGATGAGATTTGGGTGGGGACACAGCCAAACACGGGAATGAAGACACAGCTATGTAATAAAGCAAAATGCCAATGTTAAAACATAGGAGGTAGCTTACAGTAAGCTGAATAATGATCCCCAAACGTGTATACACCCTACTCCCTAAAACTTGTGAATATGTTACCTTACACAACAACAGGGATTTTGCAGATGGGATTTAGAATCTTAAAATGCAAAGATTATCTTGGACTATCAGAATGAAGGCAATGTAATCTCAGGGTCTTTAAAGAGGGAGGATCCTGAGAGAAGGACAGAGATGGAAAAAGTGGTATCACTGCAGAAGCAAAGGATGATGTTGCCACAAGCCAAGTAATATACACATCTTCTAAAAGCTAGAAAAGGCAAGGAATAGATACCCCTAGAATTTCCAGAAGTAACACATCCTGCTAGTAGCTCGATTTTTTATAAGCCTCATTTTAGACCTCTGACCATCAGAATTGTAAGAGAATTCATTTGTGTTTTTTTAAGCCACTAAATTCATGGTAATTTGTATAAGAGCAACAGGACTCTCATACATAAATATAATACACATATGGCTGTACATTGCATAACTATTTGAATTTTTCTGTATATTTGAAAATTTTCATGTTAAAATGTTGAAATTTTTTAAAAGCTTTCATTGGTCAAAGGTAGGAATAGATCAAAGGCAAGCTAACTGAACTATTTTACTCCAATATCTGATCAGCTAACAACTTCTCAACCCTCTCAAAGTTATTTAAAAGTTTTAAGTAGTGCTCGCTTTGGCAGCAAATATACTAAAATTGAAATGATACACATAAGATTAGCATGACCCCTGAGCAAGAATGACACATAAATTCATGAAGCATTCCATATTTTTACAGAAAAAAACAACTTCAACATCAACAAAAAGGACATCCACTCAGAGACCCCATCCAAAAGTCACCAACTACAAAGACCACAGGTAGATAAATCCATGAAGATGGAAAGAAACCAGCACAAAAAGGATAAAAACACACACACACACAAAAAAAAAAAAAAAAAAAAAAAAACAGAATTCCTCTCCTCCTCCAAGTGATCACAACTCCTCACCAGCAAGGGAATAAGGCTGGATGGAGAATGAGTCTGATGAATTGACAGAAAGGCTTCAGAAGGTGGATAATAACAAACTTCTCTGAGCTAAACGAACATGTTCTAACCCAATGCAAAGAAACTAAGAACCTTGAAAAAAGATTAGATGAAATGCTAATGAGAATAAACAGCTTGGAGAAGAATATAAATGACTTGATGGAGCTGAAAAACACAACACAAGAACTTTGCAAAGCATACACAAGTTTCAATAGCTGAATTGACCAAGCAGAAGAAAGGATATCAGAGACTGAAGATCAACTCAATGAAATAAAATGAGAAGGCAAGATTAAAGAAAAAAGAGTGAAAAGAAATGAACAAAGCCTCCAAGAAATATGGGATGTGAAAAGACCTATTCTACATTTGATAGGTGTAACTGAATGTGACAGAGAGAATGAATCCAAGCTGGAAAACAGTCTTCAGGATATTACCCAGGAGAACTTCCCCAACCTAGAAAGGCAGGCCAATATTCAAGTCCAGGAAATACAGAGAACACCACAAAGATATTCTTCAAGAAGAGCAATCCCAAGGCATGTAATTGTCAGATTCACCATGGTTGAAATGAAGGAAAAAATGCTAATGGCAGCCAGAGAGAAAGGTTGGGTTACCTACAAAGGGAAGCCCATCAGACTCAGCAGATCTCTCAGCAGAAACACTACAAGCCAAAAGAGAGTGGGGGCCAATATTCAACATCCTTAAAGAAAAGGAGTTTCAACCCAGAATTTCATACCTAGCCAAACTAAGCTTCATAAGCAAAGGAGAAATAAAATCTTTTACAAACAAGCAATTGCTGAGAGATTTCATCACCACCAGGCCTGCCTTACAAGAGCTCCTAAAAGAAGCGCTAAACATAGAAAGAAACAATCAGTACCAGTGACTCCAAAAATGTACAAAATGGTAAAGAGCATAGACACAATGAAGAAACTGCATCAACTAACTGGCAATACAACCAGCTACCATTAAAATGGCAGGATCAAATTCACACATAACAATATTAACCTTAAATGTAAATGAGTTAAATGCCCCAATCAAAAGACACAGACTGGCAAATTGGATAAAAAGTCAAAACCCATCAGTGTGCTGTATTCAGGAAACCCATCTCTCATGCAAGGACACACATAGGCTCAAGATAAAGGGATGGAGGAAGATTTGCCAAACAAATGGAGAGCAAAAAAAAAAAAAAAAAAAAAAGCAGGAGTTGCAATCCTAGTCTCTGATAAAATAGACTTTAAACCAATAAAGATCAAAAGAGACAAAGAAGGGCATTATATAATGGTAAAAGAATCAATGCAACAAGAAAAGCTAATGATCCTAAATATATATGGACCCAATACAGGAGCACCCAGATACATAAAGCAAGTTCTTAATGACCTACAAAGAGACTTAGACTCCCATACAATAATAGTGAGAGACTTTAACACTCCACTGTCAAAATTAGCCAGATCTACAAGACAGAAAATTAACAAGCATATCCAGGACTTGCACTCAGACCTGGACCAAGCAAACATAATAGGCATTTACAGAACTCTCCACCCCAAATCCACAGAATATACATTCTTCTCAGCACTACATCACACCTACTCTAAAATTGACCACATAATTGGAAGTAAATCACTCCTCAGCAAAGGCAAAAGAACAGAAATCATAACAAACAGTCTCTCAGACCACAGTGCAATCAAATTTAGAACTCAGGATTAAGAAACTAACTCAGAACCGCACAACTTCACGGAAACTGAACAACCGACTCTTGAATGTTGACTGGGTAAACAATGAAATGAAGGCAGAAATAAAGATGCTCTTAGAAACCAAGGAGAATGAAGACAAAATGTACCAGAATTTCTAGGGCACATTTAAAGCACTGTCTGGAGGGAAATTTATAACAATGCATGCCCACCAGAGAAGTGAGGAAAGATCTAAAATTGACACCCTATCATCAAAATTGAAAAAGCTAGAGGAGCAAGATCAAAAAAATTCAAAAGCTAGCAGAAGACAAGAAATAACTAAGATCAGAACAGAAATGAAGGAGATAGAGACACAAAAAAACCCTTCAAAAAAAAATCAATAAATCCAGAAACCATTTTGTTTTTTTTTTTTAAAAAAAGATCAACAAAATAGACTACTAGCCAGATTAATAAAAAAGAAAAGAGAGAAGAATCAAATAGATGCAATAAAAAATGATAAAGGAGATATCACCACTGATTCCACAGAAATACAAACTACCATCAAAGATTACTACAAACAACTCTATGCACATAACCAGTAAACCTGGAAGAAATGGATAAATTCCTGGAAACTTACACCCTCCCAAGCCTAAACCAGGAAGAAGTTGAAACCCTGAAAAGACCAATAACAAGGGCTGAAGTTGAGGCAACAATTAATAGCCTACCAACCAAGAAAAGCCCAGATCCAGATGGGTTCACAGCCAAATTCTACCAGATGTACAAAGAGGAGCTGGTAACACTCCTTCTGAAACTATTCCAAACAATCCAGAATGAAGGAATCCTTCCCAGATCATTTTCTGAGACCAGCATCATCCTGATACCAAAACCTGGCAGAGACTCAACAAAAAAAGGAAACTTCAGGCCAACCTCCATAATTAATATAGATGCAAAAATCTTCAATAAAATACTGGCAAACTGATTGCAATAGCACATCAAAAAGCTTATCCATCACAATCAAGTAGGCTTCATCCTGGGGATACAAGAGTGGTTCAACATATACAAGCCTATAAATGCAATCCACCACAAAAACAAAACCAAAGACAAAAACCACATGATTATCTCGATAGATGCAGAGAAGACCTTCAACAAAATCCAACAGCCCTTTATGCTAAAAAACTCTCAATAAACTAGGTATCAATGGAACATATCTCAACATGATAAAAGCTATTTACAACAAACCCACAACCAATATCATACTGAATGGGCAAAAACTGGCAGCATTCCCTTTGAAAACTGGCACTAGACAAGGATGCCTTCTCTCACCACTCCTATTCAATATAGTATTGAAAGTTCTAGCCAGAGCAATCAGTCAAGAAAAAGAAATAAAGGGTATTCAATAAGGAAAAGAGGAAGTCAAACTGTCTCTATTTGCAGACGACATGATTGTATTTTTAAAAGACCCCATCATCTCTGCCCAAAATCTCCTGAAACTGATGAGCAACTTCAGCAAAGTCTCAGGATACAAAATCAACGTGCAGAAATCACAAGCATTCCTATACAGCAATAACAGACTAAAAGAGAGCCAAATCAAGAGTGAACTCCCATTCACAATTGCTGCAAAGAGAATAAAATACCTAGGAATACAGCTAACAAAAGATGTAAAGGACCTCTTCAAGGAGAACTACAAGCACTGCTCAACAAAATAAGAGAGGACACAAACAGATAGAAAAACATTTAATGCTCATGGTTAGGAAGAATCAGTATTGTAAAAATGGCCATACTGTCCAAAATAAATTGTAGATTCAATGCTATCCCCAACAAGCTATCTATGACCCTCTTCACGGAGCTGGAATAAACCACCTTAAACTTGATATGGAATCAAAAGAGAGCCTGCAAAGCCGAGACAATCCTAAGCAAAAAGAACAAAGCTGGAGATATCAGGCTACCTGACTTCAAACTATACTACAAAGCTACAGTAATTAAAACAGCATGGTCCTGGTACCAAAACAGAGCTATAGACCAATGGAACAGAAAAGAGGCCTTGGAGGCAATGTCACACATCTGCAACCATCTGATCTTTGACAAACCTGACAAAAACAAGCAATGGGGAAAAGATTCCCTGTTTAATAAATGATGTTGGGATAACCAGCTAGCCATGTGCAGAAAACAGAAACTGGACCTGGACCCCTTCCTGACACCTTACACTAAAATTAACTCCAGATAGATTAAAGACTTAAACATAAGACCTAACCCATAAAAGACCCTAGAAGAAAACCTAGGCAAAACCATTCAGGACTTAGGCATAGGCAAGGACTTCATGACTAAAACATCAAAAGCATTGGCAACAAAAGCCAAAACAAACAAATAGGATCTAATTAAACTCCAGAGCTTCTGTACTGCAAAAGAAACCATCATTAGAGTGAATTGGCAACCAATAGAATGGGAAAAAATTTTTGCAATCTACTCATCTGACAAAGGGCTAATATCCAGAATCTACAAAGAACTAAAACAGATTTACAAGAAGAAAAACAAGCCCATTCAAAAGTGGGTGAAGGACATGAACAGACACTTTTGAAAAGAAGATATATATGAGGCCAACAAATATATGAAAAAATGCTCATCATCACCGGTCATTAGGGAAATGCAAATCAAAACCACATTGAGATACCATCTCACGCCAGTTAGAATGGCGATCATTAAAAAATCTGGGGGCGGACAGGCATGGTGGCTCAAGCCTGTAATCCCAGCACTTTGGGAGGCCGAGGCAGGTGGATCACAAGGGCAAGAGATCAAGACCATCCTGGTCAACATGATGAAATTCCGTCTCTACTAAAAATACAAAAAATTTTCTGGGCATGGTGGTGCATGCCTGTAATCCCAGCTACTCAGGAGGCTGAGGCAGGAGCATTGCCTGAACCCAGGAGGTGGAGGTTGCGGTGAGCCAAGATCGCACCATTGCACTCCAGCCTGGGTAACAAGAGTGAAACTCCGTCTCAAAAAAAAAAAAAATCTGGAGACAACAGATGCTGGAGAGGATGTGGAGAAATAGGAACACTTTTCTACTGTTGGTGGGAGTGTAAATTAGTTCAAC